CCCCAAAACCCCAAAACCCCAAAACCCCAAAACCCCAAGGATTTAGGGACTGGTTGAAAGGAAAAGAGGGAAGTTTGTTCTAGGATTAGGGGATTTTGGGTTAGGAGGGATTATGGTTAGGGGTTGGTGAGGAGGGTTTGGAGGTAGGAAAGCTTCTTTTTGATGTCGTTGTTGGGGAATTTGTCGAGGTCGTAGTACTCAGGGGCTATTTGGAGAAGCCATTTGGGGTTGATCTCGGTGATTGTGCGGATGAAGTTTTTGGAGGTAAGGACGAATTCGTGGTAGAGAACCCATTCGGGTTTATTTTCAAGTGTGGTGGAAGGGTGGAGAAGAACAATTTGATTATCTTTGACAATTGAGTAGTGGCCTCCTTTTTCTTGATGTGCTACTTGCATGAAGAAGGCTGAGATAATTGACATTTTAATTTTGTCAATATATTCTTTGGGTCTCTTTGAAGAGAGTTCAATGCTATACCCGAATCCATTCATTTGGCTGACTAGTTGAGCTCTGATATTGCTGGCAGATTTCATTGATCTGAAATTAATAAAATTTTCCCATCACCAGTTTGGATCTTCCTTATTAAATTTGTAAGATTCAAAAGCACTTAAAAGAGTAAAATGATCTCCGTCAGGATGTGCAAATTTAGACTTGGCAATATCAGCTTTCTTGACTCAATCTTTTGGCCTCATAAATACATTCGGAACACTTAATAATGATACAATTGATCATATCTCTCCTGAGCATCTTCTTCCAACCGAATCAATAAGCATTTTGGCAAGGTTTGGATCTAAAGGTAATTGAGACATTTCATTTCCAATTTTGGTAAGCTCTCCTTCATCATCGAGAGCACCAAGGTAATTTAGCTCTTCAAGAGCTCTCATCAATGTCTCTGGGGCTGGAGGATCCATGAACTCAAAATGAACAAGGTCATTGATCCCAAGCTTTTTCAAGGTTAGAACAACCTGGCCTAGATTTGATCTAAGTATTTCAGGAATAGTATTTTCTTCCAATTCTTTCTTGTATGTTTCTTCAGTGTAAATTCTGAAACACTTTCCAGGTCTGGTTCTTCCAGCTCTTCCACTTCTTTGCTTAGCACTTGCTTTACTGATAGGGGAGACTAAAAGAGATTCAATTCTGAGTCTTGGATTATAAACTTTTTCCTTATGAAATCCTGGATCTACCACATATACAATTCCATCAATAGTTAAGGAAGTCTCTGCAATATTGGTTGAAACAATTCATTTTCTTCCTTCAATGCCTTTACTATTCTTTGGAGGAGGATCTTCAAAAATTCTTTGCTGCATAGTTGGAGGAAGTGAAGAATAGAGAGGGATTACACTTAAATCACCTACTTTTTCTAACTTTTCAACAGTTTCTTTGATTGCATTTCAAGCATTTTCAATCTCTTCTTCTCCTGTTAAGAAGAGTAAAATATCTCCTTTATCTTCATATGAATGAATTTGAATAACTGTTCGAATTGCTGCTACGAAATAATCCTCTTCTGGTTGTTCTGTGTAGTATACTTCTACAGGAAACATTCTTCCTGGCACATCTAACAAAGGAGATCCTTCAAAATAAGTCTGAAATTTTTCTGCATCCATTGTAGCACTCATTACCACCAATCTGAGATCTGGCCTTTTGGGTAAAACTTCCTTAATTAATCCGAGAAGAATATCTGTGTTGAGGATTCTTTCATGAGCTTCATCTAAGCATATTATAGAATATCTTGAAAGGAGAGGATCTGCCATTGCCTCTCGAAGAAGCATACCGTCAGTCATATACTTTAACCGTGTTTTCATTGAGGTGCAGTCATCAAATCTGATACAATATCCTACTTCTTCTCCCAAAATCACGTCCATTTCTTCAGCAACTCTTTTAGCCACACTCATTGCTGCTACTCTTCTTGGCTGGGTTCATGCTACATTCTTGTATCCTGCAATACCACTGTCCAACAGAAACTGAGGGACTTGGGTAGTTTTTCCGCTTCCTGTTTCTCCTTGAAGGATAATAATTTGATTCTCTTGAACAAGTTCAATAAGAGTGTCATATGCTTCATAGACAGGAAGTTCTTTCCTCTTCTCAAGAATTTCATAATACTTTGAACTATACTCTCATTGTGTCCATGGGTTTATATGAACCTCCTCTTTAGTTTTAGCTCTTTTGACTTCCCTTCCTACTGGATTGTTGATATTAAGAATCTCATTATTCATTCTTTTTGCTCTATCGAGAACTGAAGAGGCATCACTAATTTCATCCTCTCTGACTCTCTTAACTCCTACAGAGACTGGGGTTGGATCATCAGAAGTTTTGAGGGTAAATCTTGATCTCTTGCATCTCCTTTTAGCTTTCTTAGCGTCGTTCATATTTATTATAATTATTCAATATTTTGCCAATTTATAGGGGTTTTGGGGTTTTGGGGTTTTGGGG